TGGTTACAAATTGAGCTTAAAAGATGGTTCCTCATAGTTAATAAAATCAAAATTTATGACAAGAAAATCTCGAAGGATAGACGAAGTAGGATGAAAAATTCTAGTCGATTTCAGCAAAATTTACTTCTTTAGAAGAACCAGCACACCATCAACGACTGAACATCTGGCGGAGAAGAACAAACTGAGCGGGCCCCTCAAATTCATAAAACATTGTCGAAAGTTTAAAAAACATACCAGCCTTCTCCACATCTTGCAAAAAGATGACAACCGACAGCAAACCACAGAAACTGTTAGTTAGCGGAGATTAGCTGGTTTCCGATCCATAGCAGCGATTTTATTCGGCGAAAGAATCAGCTCTTCGAAAATTTCATTCAAGCGTACATCCTTGCATCGTTGGATGGTGCACTTCTGTAACCATCCGGAAAAAGGGGATCTTTCTCGGGAACGATTGCGCTTCCAGCTGTTCGAAATGCGAAATGTTGTGAAACAGTATCGCAAACTATCTGAGTAACTGCTCCCAATCTATCGGGAGTAAACCACCTGGAAGAACCCTGGATGCCACAGCGCAACTATCGAAAGATAAACAAACTTTGACGTTTAACTTTTTGCTGGCAACTTTGCCTCCATAAATGCTGCCATAAATCTGAACGGGTTAGGATCAAGCAAAATGGCTTTTGATAAATACAATTCAGCCTGCAAGTTTTCTTCATAAATGCTATTTTAAAACCTTATGGATTTGTTAAGGATTTCTTGAAAGCAAAACAACTTTTTCACGAATGGTCCATGAAAATCAACTTTTATGCCATCGCCATGTTACAATTAGTTTGCTTGTTTTTTACAATCTTCGATTTTCAATCTATATTTCCTTAGATATAACAATATTTTGGTAAATTTAGCACTGAGAAAACATTTAACTGCGAAAATAATAACAAAAAATATCGGCCAAGCTCGATCTGAAGAATTTACATTTTTTTTCTCAATGTTAAATAATTAGTCAAATCGACGTTTTACGAGGGTGGATTTAATTGTTTCGATGTTTTCACGTACATTTGACATAACATTTATTATGGCACTTAAAAGTAGGCCACTTAATGAGAACTTTTATAATAATCGATTTTTATACCATCAGTTTCTATTTTAATTATTTAGATAAGATTGGATTCATAAATCCTTTTCTATATTGATTGATGCTTTATTAGTGGATTTAGCATGCGGTTAGGGGAAATGGCTCGGAAAGGGTTTTTATTGTTGCTGAATAGCTTTTATTGTAGCTTTCAAATGATTCTCAATGCGTTCGTCATACAACCTTTTGCAGTAAATCAATCTTGAAGAGCTTCGAGAATACACCCTTCAGAACCTTCTCCAGGGTGAGCCAACTAGACATATTCTAGTTTTAATGAGTTTTTGGTGGATGCATTAATGACAAAATAGCCTTGACCAGGGTTTTATGAATGTTGTTTTATAGTTGCTTTGTAGTATTTCATAAAACTTGAAATGTTACTTGGGATGTTTCCAAGAATTTTTTTTCAAAGAGTTACGTCTGTTTGTCTGTGGTGATAAGTCGTTTATGAGTGATTTCTTCCGTAGAGCTCTACGATCAGTTTCATGAATTGGTAACTTTAACCAATGTTCCGGATCTATAAGTGAACCATCCCGTGGTCCCCAGCATCCCTTGACCAAATTTATTTTGATAAGATGTCCATGAGTGGTTTCTAAAAAAACACGGAGCTCTAGGATCAGTTTCATGAATTGACCACTTTTACGGATGTTCCGGATCTTTTAGTGAACCATCCCGTGGTCCCCAGTATAAATGTTCTGGTCACAACTCCGAATTTATTGTGATAATACGTCTATGAGTAGTTTCAAAAAAACCGTGGAGCTCTACGATCAGTTTCATTAATTGAGCACTTTTCCGGATGTTCCGGATCTTCCGGTGGACCATCCCCTAGTCTCCAGAGTCCATATTCCGAACACATCTCTGAATTCATTTGGATAAGATGTCTATGAGTGGTTTCATAAACAAAAACAAAAACACCGCGCACAGACTGCTGTCAAAAAACTATGACCAATACACTATGAACTATTCCGGCTTGATGGAATAGTTTATAGCTTGCAACTATGATATAGAAACTATCGCTAGACTGTACATACGACAACGACTTCGGCTCTATGTCATAGCTCTAAACTATAACTTGTAAGTCATAACTATGAGCTATCACGTCATAGTTTAGGTGTTTCTATGGGCTATAATATAGTTTTCTATAACATAGCTCGCTATATACTAGAAATAGCCTCCGTGTGGCGGCACCTTAAGCGCTTTAGAGGCGAACGAGATTATTCTGCGTGCGTGGTTGTTATCCTCTTGTACAAGGACAGCACCAAGTGCCACTGGCGAGGCGTCCGTGTACAAGATTGTCTTGTCATCTTCGGAAAAGAAACCTTGGGCTATGGTGCATTGTGTGAGGTTTGGACCGTATCCCATCGGAATCACCCAACCCTTTTGGAGAGCAGGCACAACCAAGGGCGTAGCCAGGTTTCGAGCTAGGGAGGGGCGAAAAAAAAAATTACCATGGAAAATTTGGCCGAATGCCATTTCACCGAACGCCATTTCCTCGAAAGCCTTTGTGTTGCCGAGTTTAGGGGGGGGCAGTCGCCCCCCCCTGCCCCTATCTGGATACGCCTATGGGCACAACCTACCTATTCAACTGCACTGCGACGAAACAGGACGAACGAGATGCTTGCTGATTGAAGCGTCGTTGGGTTGTCAGATTAAAGAGGATGAATAGATTCATCCTGTTCATCCAGTTGACAGCTCGTCGAGGGGTTAATCAATAGATATTGCACTATGACTGAATGGTAATCCATTCAGTCAATTGTGCACCTCACACATTGGATGATTCGTTCCTTGATTATATTGAATGCCTTTTTTGGTCAGGTCCCCAATTCCACGAGGTTGTTGCAGACCATAGTGGATTAGATATGTCGGCAAAGTTCTGAACATGAGGACTGACAAAGGATGCGAGGCCCAGGAAACTCCGGAGCTCTGAAACGGATACCGGCTCACGAAAACACTGGATGCTTTTCACCTTGGCCTCTTCGATGTGAAAGCCATCTTTGTCCAGCTCATGGCCGAGGAATTTGATTCGAGACATGTCAAACTCACATTTTTCGGTATTGATGGTCAGGTTATTCGCTCTCATGATATGCAGCACTTTCGCTACAGTTTTACGGAGTTCTTCTAGGGTTGCTGCGTGTACCAGGATATCATCGATGTAAACGATCACGTCATCTACGTCTTCTAAGATACGGACCATCTCTCGTTGAAATATCTCTGGCGCACAGTTAACGCCAAACATCAGTCGCGTGAAGCGGAACATCCCAGACTCAGTTAGAAAGGTTGTAAGGTCACAGGACTCATTGGACAGCTCCAAATGATAATACGCATTGCTCAAGTCAAGCTTGGAGAAGTATCTAGCCCCATGCAACTTAACCTTCATCTCTTCGATTAACGGAAGGCGGTAGTACTCCCGGTTGATCGCTTTGTTTGGTCCTCTCATATTGACGACCAACCGGAAGTCGTCGACATGCCGCTAATCCACTCCGGTGCCTTCGTGACTCGCTCTATAATGCCACGCGTCTCCATCTATTGAAGCCTGATTCGCGCGCCTTATCTGTAGGCTGCTGGCACATTGTAGTAGGCATTCTTTACTGGGACAACTCTTTTGTCAACAATGAATTTAATTTTGATTCCCGGCATTTTGGGGAACACTTGTGCTTCATTTGGGATCTCGCAACTGTTGATTGCCGCTCCTACATGCAACAAGCCCATGTCGCTCGCCGTTGAACGCCCGAGTAATGAACGTCGTCCTTCGCTCGTGACATAAAACAATGTTTCAATAGAGGGTTTTGAAGATTCGAAGGTGTTCGCACAGGATCACAAATTGATCGGATTTCGGACCTTACACCTTAATTAATTGCGGTTATTTGCAACGGGAACGGAATTTATTCTTCTTCAAAAAAAGGTCACAGGAATAATGATAAAAAAAACATCTGTATACGCGCGCGATTGGTGGATAACTAATTTATTGCCCCTATCAGCTGTTCACTCGTACCTACAATCTACTCGTGGAAAGGAGATTAGCTGATAAGAGAGGATCGTGAGAGCTGTGTGTGAGAGTAGGTGAAGTACGATTTCGTGTGGAACATGTTTGGTGGTAGGGTGCTTCTATTTATGTTCAAACATACCGCCCACCTTGGAATCTCAGTGATTTCAATCTAATCTAAACACTTGTCTTCTTCGATACTGCTGCCGGTTCCACGACGTCAATGACGTGGACTAACTTCTCCTTCTTGATACTGCTACACTGCTACTACTGCTGGACGACTGCTACAGCCCAACTACTGCCGGAACTTGGCACGGAATTACTTCGATCTTCTTCTTCGACTGACTGACTTGAGGTCTGACACGGGTGTGTCCACGGGTTGGCGACGGAAAGAACTATCTAAAAAATGAGAGGGTGCTTTTTAAACTATTTAACCCAACTATAAATCGACTTGCCTGGAGCGGAGGCCTCCTGGCCTCCGCGGGCGCCGAAGCACCAACGATGATTCCATATCACACGGATAAATTGCTTGGAAAAACGGATGTGTTGACCACCAAAACGATGACGATGCTCAGCGAGGCTCCAGTTTGGACGAACATCGGATTAGTGTGCCATGGATTCCCCTTATCCATCAACGCGTCGTTGAAAATCATCATCCTACTTTACGGAAAGGAATTGCGACAAAGTCAGGAACGTATCGTAATGACAGACAGGACAGCACCGTGAACTTCACACATGCAGAACGTTACAGGATGCCGATCACCAATGATGGATCAGCGAATTACGGACGGATGGACTGGACTTGGTAGACCTCAAGATGTTCAGGATTTCCGGAATTGGAAAATGATGTTGACAGTGGTTAGTTCTGGTCGCACTGAAGCACGAGCAGAGCGCTGTTTAATTTTGCTCGGAAGCAGAAAGATCGAAGTTGTCACGTATCGGTAGGATGCAAATTTTGGAAATTGCCCTTCGGTACAGACCGTCTTGCGTTTTGACAGTAACTACGCGAATGTTTCCATCTGAGCCAGCATGAATGTCAACCACACGTCCTAGCTTCCATTTCAGAGGCAGGAGGTTGTCCTCTTTCAACAGAATCAAAGTACCGATGGACATGTTATCGCGCTTGCGGGTCCATTTTGTTCTATTGTGGAGATCGGAAAGGTACTGGACAGACCACTTCTTCCAGATTTGCTGAACATAGTCCTGAGCTCGCTGCCACATAGACAGCCGATTGTGCTGAATATTTTCCAACAATGGTTCTGCAATCGCTGTTAATGGTCGCTGGACGAGAAAGTGTCCAGGAGTTAACGCTTCGAAATCCGACGGGTCGTTACTGATCGGAGTGAGCGGTCGAGAATTCAGGATGGCTTCTATTTGTGGCAACACTGTAGACATTTCGTCATGCTGGAGCACTCTGTCGCCGATAGTGCGCTTGAAATGCCCTTTGAACGATTTCACCGCGGCTTCCCATAAGCCGCCGAAATTGGGAGATCTTGCCGGAATGAATCGAAACTCTATTCCTTCCTCTACTGCTCCGCGTGCAACAGAATCGTGGAATCCTTGATCCATGAATAACTGCCGTAATTCATCCAACTGACGCGTGGCTCCAACAAAGTTCAGGGCATTGTCGCACATGACTAGGGCTGGTCCTCCCCTGCGTGCCACAAATCGTTTGAAGGCAGCAAGAAAGGCTTCACTGGTCAAATCGCTCACCAGTTCAAGATGGACTGCCTTCGTTACAAGGCAGACGAAGATTGCGACAAAGTGTTTCCTAGGGAAGGATCTGCGGATTGGATAGCTAATTAGGAACGGTCCGCAGTAATCCACGCCTACGTTCAGGAATGGTGGCGCTGGAGATACACGTTCGGATGGAAGGTCAGCCATTAGCTGATCCAAAACCTTCGGTCTGTTACGGAAGCACTGGACGCATTCATGAATGACAGTGTTGGCTAGGCTTCTGATGCGTGTTACCCAGAATCGCTCCCGCACTGTGGACACAAGCAGCTGCATCCCAGAATGGAAGTTCTTGCGATGATAATAGTCTAGGACCAACTTGGCCAACGGATGACGGTGACACAGGATTATCGGATGCTTCCGACTTGCTGATACTGGTGCCTTTGCTAATCGACCTCCTACACGTAATACTCCATCGATGAAGATAGGGTTGAGCTTGTTCAACTTTGACGACGGGCTGATAGACTTTCCTTTCTCCAATGCAGCGAATTCCATCGGAAACGATTCTCGTTGTGCCAGTCGAACCAGGACTGCTAGTGCTTCTTCGTGCTCAGGATACGACAGGAAAGCAATACGCCTCTCATCTCTATGCTGTGTATTATGGACGAAACGGCGTATTCTTGCGATCAATCGGACCAAGATAAAGAGAGACGAACGAAGGCTGAATATTTCACTGACTGGTTCCGATGTTGCTGGCAGTGCAACGATCTTTCTTTGCTCCAGGAGTGCTTGATCAACTTCTTCTTCTGGAACATTCGACGGCCATATACTAGCATCTTGGCGAAGCCACAGAGGACCTTCGAACCACAGCTTTTCATACTGTAACTGGGCTGGAATCATTCCTCGAGAGATAATGTCGGCCGGATTGTCTGCACCGGCTACATGCTTCCAGGAACTTCCCTTGTAATGTGCTGGATTTCAGACACTCGATTCGCCACGAACATCTGCCATCTCGATGTACATCACGATCGTAGAATCGGTCCAAAAGTGAGCTGTGTGGTGGATACCGGTACTGCTGACGAACTTCTCGTACAGATGACTGAGGAGTAGCGCGCCTGACAATTCCAGTCGTGGTGTAGTTTGTTCCCTTTTCTTCCGCTTGAGATCCTCTAGAGGTGCAACTTTGGATTTCGCTGTGATGAGACGAACTTCCACTGATCCGCTGAATGTGGTACTCCGGAGGTACAGACATGCTCCGTAGGCTTTCTTGGACGCATCGCAAAAGCCGTGAATTTGAATTGAAGCAAGGTCCGTGCAGAACGTCACCCACCGAGGAATCGAAAGCGAATCTAAAGCCGAGAGATTTCTCCTGTATTCGATCCAGAAGTTCTGCATTGCTTCTGGTAGCGATTCATCCCAGTCACACTTCTGTCTCCATAAATCTTGCACGAACATCTTCGCAATGATGACGACTGGTCCCACCAGGCCAAGAGGATCGAATAATCGAGCCGTGTCCGCAAGTACAACTCGTTTGGTAATAACTGCATCTGCATTCCAGACGGGTGACCGAAATAGGAAGCAATCAGTACTCGTATTCCACAGCAGACCTAATGTTTTGACAGGAGCGTTCGACATATCAAGGTCCAAGGCAGATTGATCATCTACGAGATGAGTTGGTAACTCAGCCAGAAGAGCACTGGAGTTGGAATTCCACTTTCTCAAGTTAAATCCACCCGAGGAGGTTAGCTCAACCATTTCCTTCACCAAACGGATAATGGCTTCGATGTCATCGGCTCCAGTCAACATGTCATCGACGTAAAAATCATTCTTCATCGCCTTCGCTGCAACGGGATACTTGTCGGACTCAAGCTCTGCTAGACGTTGCAAACACTTGGTAGCTAAGTAAGGTGCGCACGCTGTCCCGTATGTGACTGTAGTCAACTGGTAGATACGAATTGGCTCGTTCGGTGAGTTTCTCCACAAGATGCATTGAAGTCGTTGATCCAACAGGTACACCAGTATCATTCGGTACATCTTCTCGACGTCTGCAACAACTGCTATTCGATGGAGGCGGAAACGGAGCTGAATTGATAAAAGATCGTCTTGCACGACTGGACCGACCATTAGCGCATCGTTCAGGGAAACGCCCGTGGAAGTTTTGCAAGACGCATCGAACACCACACGCAGTTTTGTGGTGGTGCTGTCCGGCTTGAATACAGCGTGGTGTGGGAGAAAGTATATCGGGAAATCTGAATCGTTGATGTACACTTGCTTCATATGGCCTAACCGCTCGTACTCGTGAATAAAATCCTGGTACTGAGCTTTCAGATCTGGATTTGCTTCCAAGCGTCTTTCCAGGGCGAGAAAACGTTTAGTAGCGATTAGTTCAGATTCTCCAAGCTGCTGCATCACGAACTCCTTCTTCGGTAGGGACACTACAAATCTTCCACTGCTGTCCCGTGTTGTTGTTTCGTCGAAAACAGCTTCGCACGATGACTCTTCCACAGAATGGATGCTGCTGGATTTGCAGGATTCCAGCTCCCAAAATCGTGCTAACTGGTCTTGGATGTCCGCTAGTGTACATGAATATGACACTGCTTGAGGCGGATTTACTGGTTGATTTGGAATGGGACCAGACACGACCCAGCCAAAGACGGTGTTCTGCAGAGTTGGGCCGGTTTTCGATATCTTGCTGCGCCCATCGGTAAGGAGATCAAAGTAATACACCGCTCCAATGATGATATCGATGGGTCCTGGATCACTGAACTGCGGGTCTGCCAACACGATGCTGCTAGGAAGAATCCATTGACCGGTGCTGACCTTTCGAACGGGAAGTGTTGCTGTCAACTCTGGTAGCACATAGAACGGCATGTTTTCGGTATACGACGAAATATCACCAGATCGGGGAAAGATGAATGCCTTGACCATCCTTCGCGATATGGATTTTGATCCTCCAATTCCTTGGACCGCAAAATAATCCGGGAATCCTTGAAGTTTTAACCTTTGACAGAAATTGGTGCTCATAAAGCAATATTGCGAACACGAATCTAGTAAAGCTCTGGCTAGTCGTGTCGCTCCGTACTGATCTTTAACGCACACCACAGCTGTGGATAGCAGTACGTCTCGAGTACGGTTTTGGTTACTGATTGACAGTGAAATTGTGTTCTGACTAGTGCATGTCTGGTTTGTGGTGAACAGTGGTTTAGTGTTCTGCGAGAGTGTAATAGGGAGAGCGCTTGTGGAAGGTTGAGTGGTTTGGTTGGGTATAGACTGGCCTTGAGTGTGTGATTGTGTCTGGTGTTGCTGTTGGTTCGCTGATGAAGATTTCGCTTGCGACGAGACGGAGGATTTGACAGACTGATTTGAGTCATTGTGCAACAGGGAATGATGTTTCTGTTGGCAATGGTGGCAGGACCCCTTGACGCACGACTTCGACTGATGTCCTGCTGATAAGCAGTTGAGGCATAATTTGTTTCGTCGTGCCATATCGTAGCGTTCGGGAACCTTCAGTTTCAGGAACTTGATGCAGCGGAATGCAGAATGGAATGCCTCTCCACAAAATGCGCACTTGTTCCACGATTGAACTGCAGAATTACTCACTCCAAGCTTGGGCCGTTTCTCCTGGACTGGAATGGACTTCACGGGAGCGACTGATTGTAGTACGGAACAGTGTCCGCGCAGAAACTGGATTAGGTTCGTGTATGTGGGAACCTCTTTCGAGTTGTGATGTGTCTCCCAGTGTCGAAGAGTAGCGGAATCTAAGCGCGAGCAAACCATGTGTACTAATATGGTGCTCCAATTGGCGGTCTCCTCTCCGATTTTCTGCAGCATCAACAAGTGTTTCTCGAAATCACCAACCAGCTTACTCAGTGATTCGTAACTCTCCTTCTTCATAACTTCTACCGCAAACAAGGAATCCAAATGGGCCTTGACGATTAACTTTTTGTTTTCGTACCTCCGTTCCAGTGTTGTCCAAGCTACCTCGTAATTTACTTCGGACATCTCCACCGAGTTGATCTCTTGTAGAGCTTCGCCCGTCAGTGAAGATCGTAGGTACGAGAACTTATCCACAGCTGTCAACTGTTGGTTATTGTGTATCAAGCTACGGAAAGTGTCTCGGAAGGTGACCCACTCCATGAGTTGTCCACTAAAGTTCGGCAGTCTTATTTCAGGCAATTTTACTCTCGAACCATTGGCTGGAACGGCTTGCGGTACTGGTCGGGCATCAGGTCTAACTCCAACAAGATCAGGCTTCGGCATTAACCTTGAAAGAGCAGCCTTCAAGTTGTAGTAGCTGTTTTCAATCTTCATAACGATCTGCACGTTTTCTTCCTCTCTCGCCTTCTTCACAGCATCTATGCGAACTTGATATTGTTCCTTGGATATCTTGATTTCAGTTTCTTCTGCAGGAACAATGTCATCCGTCAACAACTCAATTCTTCGACGGACTGTGTGGAATTCCTTGAACACCTCCTCCAATCTTTGCAAGCGGATTTCCACCTGATCACTCTGCTCCTCTTCATAATGATCTACGAAATACTGCATACCATCGAGAGTCCTCCGAATGTTCCTTTCCTGCTTCTGAAGTTCACGAAGATCGTTAGTCATGTTCACTACTCACTCACAGCACTAATTACTAAGAAATTGAATAGGACACTTCACTGCCACCGATACTATCACTTCCACTGTGCACTTTTTATTCACAATAAACTCCTCATCGACTCGACGTCCCGCGCGATCTCGCGAAGCTTTGGATAAAACTGTGAAGATTGACAACAGCGAGTGGAGAAACCAAACAGGCAACAACCAACAGGAGAAAAAGCCAACAATTGCAAGACCAACCGTCCAATTTCGTGGAGAAAATTGCAGATACTGCCAAGGCTCGATCCCAATGGAGAAAAACGCTCAGAAATAATCGAAATTTCAATTTATTTACCACTGTTCAATTAAATGCAGTTTGACTCCGGCGGTTACATGCAAAACCACCACAAACCATCACAGATCATGCAACTAGTACTTCCCCGTTTCCAGCTGTGTCGGTCGTCTCGGTGCTATTGGTGTGTATTGTTGTTCTCCTCAACTGGTGCAGGAACGTGCAGCAAACTGCCTAATATCGCCTGTCTATTCTTCACTGCTATCGTCACACTTTTTATACCGCAGCTACCGTCGCCATCACACGGCACTTGTGTTACGTTAGGGTCACTGCTCTTCAAAAAAACTGCAGACCACGTATGAAAAACACTTTTTCCATAAATCACTGTTCTTTATCTTCGTGATCACACGCACTGAATCGGTCCTTTTTCAGGTGAAAAGTCCCCGAAATCCGGTTCGAAGGACCAAAAATGTTCGCACAGGATCACAAATTGATCGGATTTCGGACCTTACACCTTAATTAATTGCGGTTATTTGCAACGGGAACGGAATTTATTCTTCTTCAAAAAAAGGTCACAGGAATAATGATAAAAAAAACATCTGTATACGCGCGCGATTGGTGGATAACTAATTTATTGCCCCTATCAGCTGTTCACTCGTACCTACAATCTACTCGTGGAAAGGAGATTAGCTGATAAGAGAGGATCGTGAGAGCTGTGTGTGAGAGTAGGTGAAGTACGATTTCGTGTGGAACATGTTTGGTGGTAGGGTGCTTCTATTTATGTTCAAACAGAAGGCAACAATTTCTGCCCTGAATGCTGCGTTGACAGTTATTGGCTTTCCCGAACCGTACGCATGTAACCCACTGTCAGCTGGTGGTTGAACCGGGTTAAGTTTGGCCCTCCCAAGATGAAATTCTCGCTTCAGGAGCTTCCAGTCGTTGCCTCCGATGACGTTCACGTCGGTCCTGGAGTCAATCAAGAATGTTATTGAGCTCGACGACCCAACGCAACAATTAATTAATACATCGTTAAGGGATAGTATGTTTACTTGCTGAAATAGTAATACGCGAACGAAACATTTATTCGGCATATTCAAAAACACTTGTTTTTATTCAGAGAAGTTTTACAATAATCAATTATTTAATACCTTCTTTTCTTCATTCTCCTCATCGGTCCAGCCAGCAGGATTTTACTCCGTATCGCGTCGTACATTATTCACGCGCCGCTTCCGACACGATGGAATGAAGTCCCCACGTTCTCCGCAACCGATGCAGTTTTTGTCGAGGGCCGGACAGGTTGTACCACTCCTGTGCGAAGGACGGTAGCAACGATAGTCGATAGCAACGATTTCGACGCCCCTGAGATTGCTTGTCGAAGCTGCGATATCGTTTTGTGGGATGTCTATCATCTTGACCCTCTCTTCTGCGCTTTTGATGCATTTCAGTGGGTGATTTCCGGTATCGCTGATGAACTGCAGAAATATTGGAGCCACTGGGTTGTGCTGTTTCCGCCTCGTAAGCTTCCTCCCTTGTCGCTGATTGCACTATGAAATTCGTCTGGTAGCTGTAGATCCTGGCCGTTTTTGTGAGCTCCCTGTTCCTAAGCCTTTTCAACAATTGAGCCCTGACGAAACGTTCTTGATCAGAGGGGCTGTAGCCGCATAGCCTGACCTTCTCCTGGAGCCTGGCATGGAACGCCACAGCAGATTCTCCAGTTCCTTGCATCATACCAGCAAACGCCTTATGTTCGACTGCTGTGTCCGTCATGGATTGTAGGTAGTTCCGCACGTTTTTCACAAAAAACTGTGTAACAATCGGGTTCCGCTAGGCTTGGTCGTAGTTTGGACAGTAGCTATGAACGTTGTACGGGATTTGCAGCGTTTCCCAGAGACGCCGCTATCTCAAAGTTCTCAATGAACCTATTCCACTCTTCCCACATTTTGTTTGCGGGAATACCATTCGGGAAGGGTTTAATGTGGTCCCATCTTACAGCGGCCTGAGTAACATCCGTGTAGCCGGTGGAATCGTAGGGACCAGCCCAATTGTCGTCAACGTCACGATGCGTCGCGTTGTTTGGTCGTTGATATGCACTCAATGTTTCAGTCAAATCGGCAATGACCTTCTGTAATCGCTCGATCTTCTCAACGCTTCCAGATTTCGCTTCCCTTGGTTCTTCGGTCGACGTCCCGATTACCAGGGACCGTCTTGGATCCATACGATCTTCGCTTTCGCTCGACGGTGGTGGTGGTACTGGTGGTGAATAGACTGATGAGTCCGACGTAGTGGAGCATGAGGTCGAACTGGTGCAATCTGAGAGTTGATCTCCTTGCTCCTGATCACCCTCACAGCTGGATTCAATCTCGTTCGTCTCTTTTATGGTGTCCTCCAAGTTATGCGACTCATCACTGAGTAAAGTGCAATTGATAATCACCTAGTTTCTAATCACCGTGTATCACTAAACGTCAGAATAAAATTCTCTCTTCTCTTTCTTTTGTTACGGAACACACGTGTTTAGTTTAGTCTCTGTCCGAAACTGGCTCAATATTAAAAGGTTATGGGCCCAGTATAACCGAGTGTTAGATTTTTTTCGTTTTGGAACCGCAAAAGAAATCGGTGGGTAGTGCGCGATGGACGACGACGCAAAAATCATCAGATTCAGGCCTTTCGACGGAACAGGCTTCAACAATTGGAGCTTCCGGATGCTGGTGTACCTTCAGCAGCTGGAGGTGCTGCATTGTGTAGAGAAGGCGGCTGCAGAAGAAGATTTTTGGCAGAGTCCGGTTGGTGCAACGGCTGAGGTGCAAGCGGCAAACGAAGCAAGAAAGGCTGTGCGTATCAAACAGGACAATAAATGTCATTCTGTATTGATTCAGGCAGTAGCGGACAGTCACAGCTATGAGGTTCTGCGAAAACGATCGGTTGCAGGAGCATTTCCTGCATTTTGATCAGCTGGTACGCGAGATTAAGGGAGCTGGAGCAAAGATGGAAGAAGAAGACGTTATCTGCCATCTTATGCTGACAATGCCTGAATCGTATGATGCCGTTACGACCGCAATGGAAGCGGTGTCGGAGAAGCTGACCATGGATTTAGTGCGACGTAAGTATCTCGACGTGGAAGCCAAGCGAAAAGGCCAGCGGCATGAAACGAATACGGAGGAAGCAGCGTTCGCGGGAAAATCTAAAGGAAGATTGAAGTGCTTTGCTTGTGGGGAATTTGGCCATAAGAAGGCCCAGTGTCCGAAATCCGGTGAAAATAAAAACAGTGGCCAGAAGTCCGGTAAGAAGAATATGGTTCAGGAAGCGAATGTCAGTGCGAAAACGGTGTCGTTTGTGGCTGCTAACATTGGACCCGAAACAGCAGCAGCTGGTAGTGTGGTGGATGCCAAATGGTTTTTGGATAGTGGAGCCTCCGAACATATGGCGAACGATAAATCATTGTTCGAGAGTTTGGAAAAGTTAGACCAGCCAGTGATCATTCAGACGGCGAAGTTTGGTGTTAATTTGCTCGCTCACTATAAGGGACGTGTCGTAGCTAGTGCTATCGTAAACGATGAGAAGATTCAAATGAATATGGAAGACGTCTTGTTTATTCCGGAGCAGTCTTTGAACGTCCTGTCGCTGCGACGGTTGGAAAATACCGGAAAATGAGTATTTTTCATCGGTTGGTGCGTGACCGTCGAGAACAACGGTGAAGTTGTGGCCACCGGAAAGCAGCTGGGACGGCTATACTGTATGAATCTCGTTTGCAAAGGTAGTGGTAAGAACGGAAGTGCGCTAGTGACGGGAAAAGTGAGCAAAAAGATGGAACTGTGGCACCACAGATTCGGCCATCTCGGAAACGATAATTTGTTGAAGCTTGTGAAGAATAATATGGTCGAAGGTATGTCGGTCGAAGGCAGAAATGCCAGATCTACGGAAATCTCCGTAGATCTACGGATTTTACAAATTTTTGCGGAAATACGGATCCGTAGCCAAAATCTACGGAATTCGGTACAGTTTCTACGGATTTTTTCTTCAGTATACGTCTCCCTTCAGAATCGAATTTTACAATCTAGAGTATAATCTGATTCTGAAGGGAAAGAAGCATAAAGTAAAATACAACCGTTTTCTTGTCACTTATCCTTTTTTTTATAGAATTGGCGTTGACGGCGACTCTGTAGCTCTTCTCTCCTATGAAATATCCAGTAAACAAACGTCAGACTGTGCGTGAAACTCTTCACTTCTGAGAAAGTTCCCATAATATACTGTAAATCTTTGCTTGAAGAGAAAAATTTTAGACGGTGCCGTGTGAAGGCAAATAAAAGTCGACCGTAGTCGGCACATTTTCTGTGATAATCGACTACCTTTGCTTCCGACACTTGCAAAACAAGCTTTCAAATAACAGTACCAATGTTAAACGACAGGCTCTGTCATACGACACTGTCACCGAAGGCCGTAACGAATGTATGTATTTGAGTTTTTCTCATAATAAGAGCTGCTGATGTGTGCTTGTGTGAATTCTGAAAATAGCAAGCAACCATGCCCTAGTTATAACATTTCTGATCAGAAATGGTTTAATTGACACCAAATTGAGGAATTAGAGCGAAATCACACATGTCATATGATAGTTATTTGATAATTTTCTTTTTGCTCGAATGTTGTTCTACCGTTTGCGTTGTTTAAGAGAGACGGCGCTCTCTTCCCCGTCAGCTCGATGATGATCAGGCCTTCAACGTGTTCATCAAAAAGCACGTAA